ACTGCAAACACTTCTTCATTCTCCTCTTGGGATTTTGGACACACACACACACACACACACACACACACACACACACACGCGTGCCTGGTGTAAGTGTCAAGCTGGGTCTGGAACTCAAACTGCAGTTAGCCAAATGAGCGTCCAGTGCTTTATCCACTATGCCACCTGCTGGCCCCAAGAGAATGAGTTCTTAACCCTTTCTTATGTGTGATAATTTTGTATCAAATGAAGTTATTGATAAATTAGGTTAAAAATACCCACTCACCCACTCAATCACACCCACCACCCCCCACACACTGACTGGGGTGAGTCACTGTAATGTAGCCAATCAGAAATATTTCCATGCCTGATCTAGGACTGACTGTCAAGATAGAATCCTGAAAAATGGCTTGTTATACAGAAGTATCAAGGCTATCTATATATATGTTTATCAAGCAGGGTCCAGCCTGTATCCAATGTTTGTGAGTTTAAAGTGAATGACTTGCTGAGTGGTTGCTAGATTGAGGGTTTTACAGGGATCCAGGAGGCTGTTAAAGAGTTCCATTTTGGGACCAGCAGTTAGCGTAATGGCTATGTCGCTGAACTCCCATGTAGTCGACTGCAGTTTGAGTCTCGGACCTGGTGGCTTAAAACTCACGCCTGGCGCGTGTGCGTGTTGTGTGCCCAAGATCCTGAGAGGAGAATGGAGGATAAGGGATTGTGGTGTGGCCATCCCTCTGGGGGATGATTTCTCACTTTCTGTCTCTTTGTCTCTCTCTGGAGAGCGCATGCACCCTGTAGCAAAAACCTCTTTAAAAAAAAGAGTTCCATTTTTAAATCTCTTTCCTCTCTACTTCCTCCACCTCCTTCAGAAATTTCAATGATAGTGTTTAAATTTGCCTCAGGCTTGAAACTTGGCATTTAGGAAATCAGCTCGGCAACTCTCGAGTAATTTATCTGGGTTCCAGAAAGTCTCTTTACTACCCTGTAAAGATAAAGGCACCTGCTTGGAAAACAAAGTGCCATATAGCAGTGTCCTCTTAGACTTGCTGCAGGTTCACAGAGCTCTAAAAACAGGGCGTGTTTTTGCCATGAGGACATTTTCCTTTGGGTAGTCTATGGTAAAGTATTTTTCCTTCCTTTGATTTTCTGAATTAAAATAACCAAGATGTTGAGCTTTATAAAATCAGTCCAAGGGGAAAACATTATTTTGACTCTTTGTATACCCATGCCTGTATTGCTGTTATAACAGCTTTGTGCAGAGAGAGATGGGACTAAAAGTGGATCTATAGTCCAAAAGGTGCAATTATGGTCATTTAAGCCAATCACATAATTATGTATATAGCGCATGTATTTATCAGATATGTGCAGCCATCTTGAACTCTTTATGTGTGATCATTGCCACTTTGCAGCTTTCTTGAGACAATTTTCAACATCATCTAAGCAAAAATCACTGAGAAGGTTAAATGCTAAAAATATACTTCAAATTACATTGAGGAGATGGTGCAAAGCCAGGGAAGTCAAAGAACTTTTATTTTACAGACTTTCTGTAGTTTCTCGAGATTAATTACCATAAAAAATTTAATTAATGCTTGTTGTTGTCACTAGTATTCTGTCCTTAGTTTTGAAGACTACAATTCCAGAAAAGGCTTACCCAGAAGGACTTAGATGAAAATGGTTTCAAACTCTCTTTGGAATCTGAATTTACTTTATTCTTGTGTCCCATGAAATTTTTTATTCTCAGAATAAACACCACCCCACCTGGGATTATGATGATGACTTTTCATTTCTAAACCAAGAATCTAACATTCTTTGAAGTCTAGTTTATTTCACACCTTTCTAGGGCTCTCTTTAATACAGGCAGGTAGAAGCCCTAATCTCCCCATCCTGTCGCAATCCAACAGTTACTAATACTCACATGTGGGTGCTGGTGAAAAGGAAGGTTTCTTTTAGCAAGCATGAGGCAAGGTTTTAATTTGTAGCTGATAATTTGCTACTGGAAGCTTACCCTGATTAGTCTTCTGACTGCACCAACAGTTTTTGAGGTGGTGTGAATTACCTGCTGTGTATGTTTTTACCACTCACTCAGGGATGAAAATGAATTACAACCTAGCCCTCAATTAAAGCTCGAAATAAGAAAACTTCAAACTTCTTTTATGTCCTCACTTCTAAAGAACAGAATTAGTTGCTTCTGATATCATTGGAATTGTAATTCACACTCTTGGAAATCCTGCAATGGATCTTTCAGCCCCACTCAAACGAGCACATCTCAGCTGTTACCCAATTACATTGCCTTTGCTCCAAGTCAAATCATCACCCAACAGCTGAGAATTGAAACAAACTCCATTTGCGAAAATGAACCATGAGTTTATCGATAATGCAGAATGTTTTTAAGTGTTAATTCGCCTCATCCTACAGAAATTAATATGTAATTTGGGGTCCTATTAATTGTGAAATCTAGAAAACTGAGTTGTGGACTTTGATTTAATTTGTCATTAATGCAGTATCTCATTTTCAGCAGTGCTGGAAAGAAATACATTAATGAAAACTTTGAATAAATATTTTTGACACATTGTTGTTAGATCTTTTGAGAAAATGTCCATCACTTCTAACCAGTTTGTTACAAGTCTATAAAAGCCTGTATTATGTTTGTGGGGTAATCTTGACATCTCAAAAGAGAACACATAGGCAGTCAAATAGTCTATGTGTTTATTCATGGGCTCATGTTCTTATTAGGCACCTATTGTGTGTTTCATTTGCTCATGCCACAGGGAATAGAGAGCTCCTGAGTTCTAAAGTACTTTCATTCTACTTAGGAAAACAGTATGTCCCATTCACTTTAAGGAAGAAAGTGTCTTGCAAAGGCATTGTACTCATGGCTAGTCACATAACTTAAATCTGTTGCTGTTCTACAAAGCTCTTATTTTCCTTTGGAAAAGAAGGGGGAGGTACTTGAGCATCTTCTCATGTAAAACCAGCACAGTAAGTGACAAGAAGAAGGAAAAGTCAGCAAGGCCTGAAGCTGTAGTATGGTCTCCTGCTGCGATGAGTAGGAAGGCCAAAGCCAATTGGAAGGTACCTATTTGTTCAATTTAAAAAAAAAAAAAAAAGAAAAAAAAGTTTTGTTTCCTTTTTTTTAAAGACTTTTTTTGCCTTAGGTCATGTGTGCTCACCAGAGAGAGAGAGAGAGACAGAGAGAGAGACAGAAACAGAGACAATGAGAAGGAAAGTGAGAAATTACTCCCAAAGAAAGATAGCCACACCTCAATCCTTCTTCTCCATTCTCTTTGCAAGATCTGACGCATGCATGTACATGTGCCTGGCGTGATTTTCAAGTCATTGGGTTCAGACTCAAACTGTGGTCAAACATGTGGAAGTTAAGCAACGTAAACGATATGCCATCTACTGGACCCAAGTTTGTTTTCTTGATGTAACTGAGGAAATAGTATATTCTAGTTGAATCCTGAGAGAGGAAACTGAAGACCACTCTGCTAAGAGTGTACCACAATACCGGGCTGTGCAAGAAGCAGAGGAATAAGCAGAAGAGACAGAGCCTGGTGCCTCCAAACACATCATAAGCTCCTTGCTAATGGAAGCCTGGTTTGTATTTCTTTTGTGTTCTCCATAGCATTTAGTTCAGGGCTAGGTTCTCAACTGCTATAGATCCCTGTTTCTTCACTCACAGCCCATGTTCCAAGGCTGTAATTCTGGTCTGAAAGATGGAAGGAAGGGCAGTTGTATGCTGAATTCATTGTCTTCAGCAGTTTATCTTTACCTTTGATATTAGCAGAATTATATCAAATTTGTCAATGCGTCTGCATCATATTTTTCTCTACTTTGCAGTCATAAATTTGCTAGTTACAATTCTATTCTGAAATATCCTAAGAAAGATGATATATGCCATTCTGCTGTTCACCTTCCTGAAAAGAGGAACGATCATCATTCTTCTAGTTCTTCCCACCTCTTTTGCTACAAAATGACAAAATTGTTGATAAGAAACTACATATTGTGCAGTGAAATAATGTTCTTAGAAGTCTTCATTCTTAGGAACAGGGAAGTAGACATCTAAAGGGATTATAAGTGGCAACTAATGCACTTAAAAAGGAGAGTTCTCCCTGATGTAGGAGATACATTTTTTTCTGTCCATGGCCTTCATGAAGGTCTACATGTTGTTCATTGTTCATACTCTTTGTGTGACCTTTTATTGTTTCATATATAAAAACTCTTCCATTGGATTTTGTTTGGCTTCATGTGATCATGAAGGTATGTTTTTTCTTAAACATATGTTTTCTCAGAGATTAAGAGTTATGTCTTTAGTAACATGTACAGAATACTAAATAGCCATTCGTGGCTAGCCTGAAATTAAAATGAGGTACACAGTGGGCAGCAGTTGAAATAAAACCATGTTAGGTAAAAGATGGGCAGGTTCATTAAATCAGTTGTCTCCATGGGACCAGTAACCTGGTAACGGCTTGGAGTTGAGCAGAAGCAGGAGCATGGGATGGATAGGAACACAAGGGCTTTCGGTGGCCACCTTGCATTTTCCTGTCTGTCTCCCTTTTCCCTTTTTTCTATCCCTCATTTACAGCTTTGCTCCTTTCCTGTCTCCCTCTCTTATCCCCTGTCTCTTTCTTTCTCAAGAAAACTCCCTCCCACATATCAGTTGTACTATAAATTATTGTCCTCTTATCTAGGGGCTGGATCAAGTAACATAAATGCATTAGGTATTAAATTCATATTTTAGATAGGCAATAGAATTAAGAAATCTACACTGCTCCCAAACGGGCAATTTATACATACTCATTCATGTTTACATTTAAAAAAAAAAAAAAGGTGAATTCATGGTCATCTCTGACCTTGTACAGGGGAGAGTTCAGTCACGTGCATTTGAGTGAAATTAGAAATTAGAAATGATACAATATAATATGGATGTATCAAGCAGATTATTTTTGCAGCCAGCTGTATCATCTAAAGCAGAACTATTAAGTTATTCTAACTCCAGTTGCTTTTTCTCATATGCCAGATGAAAACCCTGCAGACTCTGGAGGAAATAATGCTGAGTAGTGAGACACAGACCACTGGAACAATGTTTTAACTGTGAGTGTTTCAAAGTTTTTCTTTGAAAAACACATAAAAATGTGAATGATTTCTGATTTCTACAACACTTAAGTGCATTTTCCTTGCCTTTCAGGCAATTTATTCCATTTAGCATGAGAAAGCATATATTACCATAAATTAAGATGATTTTGAAAGATGTAAAACTAGTTCAAAAAAACAGTCTTTTAAAAGTTCACACATGATTCTAGAGCGTTTAAAAAGAGGACTTTGGAGATTTAAAACTAACCAGCTTTGTGTTAATAGTGGTATAAGCCTGGCCCTGTTCCTGAATAAATCAATAAAGAAATCAGTCTATTCACCAAATATTCTCTCTTTTTTTCTTTTTTTTTGGAGAGCTTTTGCTATAGGGCTCATGCGCTCGCCAGACAGACAGAGAGAGACAGAGAGACAGAAAGCGAGAAATCACCCCCCAGGGGGGATGGCCACGCCACAATCCTTTCTCCTCCATTCTCCTCTCGGGATCTTGGGCACGAACGCACATGTGCCCAGCGTGAGTTTAAGCAACCGGGTCTGAGACTTGAACGGTAGTCAACTACATGGGACTTCAGCGACATAGCCAGTGCACTAACTGCTGGTCCCCCAAATATTCATTTTTAATATATATTATATTGTGGACTTTGCCTTCTTAAAAAGAAGGGGCCAGCAGATGGTGTAGTCGTTACATCATTGAACTCCCACACAGCCGATCATGGTTCAAGTCCCAGAGTTGGTAGTTGACACTCACTCTGAGCACGTGTGCTTGCTTGCCCAAGGTCCGGGGCGAAGAATGGAGAAGGGATAGTCATCCCTTCTGGGGGGTGAATTCTCACTTTCCCTTTCACTGTCTCTCTCTCTCTCTCTATTGAGGGCATACACCCCAAGGCAAAAACCTCTAGAAATTATTTTTTTAAACTTGAGATGATTGATTATCTTTTAAAATTCATGCTGAATAAGTATATTGCATTGACTAACTTCATTGGATTATCGAGCATGTGGGGGGAGAGAAGACATGCATGGAATTCAAACCAGATCATACTTGGAAACATTTTCAGGCGCACTTTTCCTAGTAATAATGAAATTATATTCTATTCAACCACACATACACATACACGAATCTGGAAAGACTGGCAGGGCAACATCTGAGTTTAATCTGTGTATGAGTAGAAGTCTTCAGAAGCAGCATGATGGATAAATTAATATATGAGGTCATCGGAAAAGTCTTGATATGGGACCAGCAGTTAGCATAATGGCTATGTTGCTGTACTCCCACATAGTTGACCGTGGTTCGAGTCCTGGACCCGGCAGCTTAAACTCACGCTGGGTGCATGTGCGTGCATGCCCAAGATCCCAAGAGGAGAATGGACGAGAAGGGATTGAGGCATGGCTATCTCCCCTGGGGGGTAATTTCTCGCTTTCTGTCTCTCTGTCTCTGTCTGACTGGCAAGTGCACGTGCCCTATAGCAAAAACCTCCCCCCCTAAAAAAAAAAATCTTGATGTATTTTTCTGTTTTTCTATGTAAAAATGCATAAAGACTTTTCTGACAACCTGAAAGTATGGATAATGTCATATTTTAAAATGAACACTGACACTGAGGGGTGACTATCTAGGTTGTAAAATTTTCTTAGCCATTTCCCAGCTGAATAATCTTGGATTTGTCTTATAAACTCACTTTTCTTATCCAGGGGAAATAATGCTTTTCCTACCTTTGTGTTTTAAGGTATAAAATAAGAAATGTGGGGGACCAGCAGTTGGTGTAATGGCTATATCGCTGGACTTCCATGTAGTTGACAAGTTCGAGTTCTGGACCTGGTGGCTTAAACTCATGCTGGGCACGTGTGCATGTGTGCCCAATATCCTGAGAGGGGAAGGGATTGCAGTGTGGCCATTCCTCCCGGGGGGGGGTGTGTGATTTCTCACTTTCTGTGTTTCTAACCCTCTTTGTCTTTCTGGCGAGTACACGTATCCTACAGCAAAAACCTCTCCCAAAAAAAGATAAAAATGTGGAAAACTTCATAAAGTATAAATTATCCTTCAAATGTGATATAGTAGTATTTTTCGTTGAGGTATAAAAATTAATCTTCTCAATACTCAGTTGGGTCACTGTATATTTTTTCTCATTTTCCCCCCATGTTTTATATGAACATGAACTCAAGTCTATCTTAGAGTCATTTTTGTTTTATTTTTTTTTAGTGTAAAACTGAACACAACATTTGCTATTGTAATGTTGGTGGACAAGCTGCTTCAACCATCTGACCACCTAACATATATATCGCTTACTGCTTATCACTGCATTCAGGGAATATAAAAGTGAATTCGACACAAATATTGTCTTCAAGAAGGCACAATGAGGTAGGAGGCACAAAGTCACGTCATTGTTGGGTCTGGGATTGCATTTGCCCTTTATACAGGTTAGTGACAGCCTGTTGCAATTTCATGGTTGCTAGCAGAATATACGGGATTCTTGAGTCTGAAACAAAGGCTTCTATTATTCAGAGCACATCAAGTGGCATCCTGTTTGTATCTGTTTCTTTTGTCCACCAAGTGTGTGTGTGTGGGTGGGTGACACACTGAAAAGTTGGGTAGCATACATGCAGAGGGTGTGTGTTGCAGCTGAGGAACATGGAGCTTGTGGGACCCACTGTTTTATATAGCACACAATAAGCAAACCAGTTCTCTGTCCTTGGGGGAGCATTTACTTCATCTCTCCAAGCCTACTTGCTACAAATACAGCCCTGAGAAAAAGCTCTGGAAAAAAGTCATCAGGGCCTTTCATTATTGGTATGCCCCGCGAGATGTTCAGGAGCAAAGACCCAAAGAGGAGTGTCTCTCAATAATCAAACTGGAAACGAGGATGTGAGAGGAGGCTCAGTCTATTCCACGTCAAACACAAAACCAACTGCTTTATCATTTGATTTCTTTCTTATTGTCAACAGTTTACTGGGCTCCTACTGAAGTGTGTGTCTCACTGTAGATCATCATGATAACAGGATTCTTATCCTGTGATGTGCCCGGTGAGGTTTCTGCCAGCTCTGTGTCTTAAAATCCAACACAATGAGAGCTGTCACTTGGCCCTTGCACGATCTCTTTAGGGTACCCCCTGGGGACCTCCACTGACCATTTTCCATCATGGAATACCCATTTTGCGGCAACCTCAATATGAGATATTGGAAAGTAAGTGTCTCTACTGAACATATATTTGGGTTTCTCCATGAGTTTATATTTAAAAGTCATATCAAATCTTCATCCTTTCGTACAACCTGGATTAACAGGTTTGTGAAAATAGTAGCATGGTGGGTTGATACTTCTCATGGACAGGTACAGATTCAAACTTGGATCTTTCTCCAGAGTTGGTGTTCACTCCATTACTATTCCCTGCACCCTCACACATGAACGGAGGACAAAATTTCTTAGCTTTTTTTTAGAGCCACGATATAAAATAAACCTGAAGATGCTTCCTACAGAAAGCTTGGACATAAGGGAGCATTCTACATTTATTCTGTTGTCACATTCAGAATATTTTTCTTGAAAGTCTTTGTTATTGCAAAGGTGTGTAGAAGATAAAGTGATCTCTCCAATGTGAGTGAGTTAATGACTAAGGGAAGTTTCTTTTTAGAATATGAATGGGTCCTCCCATTTGGCCACCTGAGATCTTGATGAAGATACTACCCTGAACGAGTTGACAAGAAAGGAAAAATTTTAGTGGGAGTGAAAGAGAGGAAGATTTGCTGTTAAGTCAAAATACAGAGCACTGTACAGAAAAATCTTCCTTGGGAGACAACATACTCTTCAAAAGGAAAGTGAGTTTGTTTTGGCAGCAGGCCTTGGAATTCTAGTTTGCAATTTAAATCTTTGTTAAAAATTGCATTTTTAAGGCAGGTGCTTGTCTAGCACAGGTGGTTAGTGTAGCTATCACTGTATTGACAGAAAAATATTATGATGAGGTGTAGAGACACCAACCTAATAAAATAAAATGAAAAGGAGAGAAATAAAAAAAAATTCTCTTCTCTCTTCTTTCCTCCCTCACATACTCCTCCAAATAATTGTAATTTAATGTTCTATTCAGAAGAACATATTTATAACAGGGCAGCTCAATATTAATCTTAAAGTCAGAAAAATAACTTGTCATTTATTTAACCTCAGCCTGATGGGAGGTTAGATTCACTACTGAAAGTCTGTTACAAATAGCTGGGACATTCTAAGGTCACCAAATGATGGCTGTCATTTTCGTATTCAGTCCAATGATGAAAGAGCTTTTAAATGTTTGGACATTCAATCTATGTAGTGCCACGACCTGGACATACCCTTTTACTAAACACTAGCCCACTAAATCCTCTTAGAATGTTGTTTACCTCCAGATAAATCAAACCTGACAATGTAGGTTAACTTCACTGATTCATTTTTCAGCCACAAATGATTAATAATTTTTACAGAATGAAAGCTACAGACTTCTTATTATACGGTGGACTACAGGGAGTGATATAATTCTTGGATGTCATGTGAAATGCGAAGCCATTTTTCTGGAACTGATGTTCCCAATTCTGTACTAAGCACAGTAGCTACCTTTTCTCCACTAGAGG